TCTCTCTGGTCTCAAAATTGACGTAGATTCTCCATATAAAGACGGTCTCCCAGGTACTTGACTCCGAGAAATCCAAATTTCATGGTCCCGAAGCTCCTCTAGCCCCCCTTGGGGAGTAATCGGGGGGCCCAATTTTAAAAGTCGGGGCTCCTTTCTGAATCGCAAATCGATTGCATCCAAATTGAGGAGAAGAACACTTTTACTTCTTAAGTGGCCCCCAAGAGTTTTAATTGACCCCCCTGAACGGCAGAAAGTAACCCCCGAGGAGGGGGGATTCACCCCCTCCACAAGTTTCTCAAGATTCCTCTTTGGTCGCAAAATTGACGTCGATTCTCCAGATAAAGACAGCTTCTGCCCAAAAGGGCGGGTAGCGGAGCTTAGGGACCATGAAATTCAGTGCCCTCAGGGTCGATTACCTGGAAAACCGTCTTTTTCTGGAGAATCGAGTCAATTTTGCGACCAAAGAGGAATCTTGAGAAACTTGTGGAGAAGGCGAGGCCCCCCTCCTCAGGGGTTACTTTCTGCCGTTCAGGGGATCAATTAGAACTCTTGGGGGTCACTTAAGATGTAAATGTGTTCTGCTCCTCATCAATCAATTTGCGATTCGGAAAGAAGCCCCGATTTTTAAAATTGGGCTCCCCGTTTACCCCCCAAGGGAAGCTAGAGAAGCTTCGGGACCATGAAATTTGGATTTCTCGGGGTCGATTACCTCACGATTAAAATCGAGTTTTCCGACTAAACTCATTTTTTTTTTATCTTGATGGATACCTGAAGATAAGATGAATCAATTGGACAGCTTTATGCAATAAGGAACTAGGGTCAAATTTTCCATTTATTTTTTTATGATGAATTCCGTTTCAGGAGGGTATTTACTTACTATTGAGAAAAAGAAAATCCTCAAAAACGATTTTTATCCCGCTTCAGCGACCCCGCGAAAATTTGCCGTCGCAGGATCACGCGAGGTTCATTTTGCAATTGGGACCTATACTATGGTTCCCTATTGCGTAATGCGAAACTCGGATTTCCCATTTTGCAATTCGGAATTATAGGCAGGACGACAAAAAGCTATCTCGGCATTCACGGCTCCTGTTCGATCGATCTTGCTGATTTTTGGCACAGGGTGATATTTTTCGACGGAAAACTCGAATTTCTGGTCAAATTTCGAAAAAACATAAATCCAAGATGGCGCATGTGGCCTAAAATGCTATCTCGGCTCCTGTTCGATCGATCGTGCTGATTTTTGGAACCAATGGGTATTTTTGGACGTGAAACTCGAATTTCTGGTCAAATTTTGAAAATTCGAAAATCCAAGATGGCGGATGTGGCCTAACATGCTCCCTCGGCTCCTGCTCGATCTATCGTGGTGAATCTTGGTTGTATAGGAGGTATTTTTGGACGGGAAACTCGAATTCCTAGCCGAGTTTCGAAAAATTGAGTTTTTTTCAAACTTTGACAATGAACTTGTTCAGTAATGTTTGATTTTTGCATTTTTTGAAGTACTTACTACGCATAAGCCACAATAATTTTTTCCGATATTTTTCGCATTTCAATCCACGAAAAACAAGTTCGAAGTTGCGTCTTCTGAGCTCCCCTTTAAACGCGTATCTCCGAGGAATGAAAGATCCCCCAGGGGATACTTACTCAAGTAAGGTCATTTTCGGCCCCATCCCCCATCTTGGATTATCGAATTTTTAAAATTTGATCAGAAATTCGAGTTTCCCGTCCAAAAATACTAACTGGTACCAAGACTCACCGCGATAGATCGAGCACGAGCCAGGATAGCATTTTAGACCACATCCGACATCTTGGATTTTCGAATTTTCAAAATATCACGATTCACGGGATTGTTGACCTATTCAAGGGTTTATCGATCAATTCACGGATTTTTCGAACGAATCACGGGGTCAATCGATTTACGGATTTGTTGATCGATTCGCAGGTTTTTGATCGATTTACGATCGTTAATCGAATCAGTACCGATCAAATCACGTCAATCGGTTCACGTTCCAACTTTTCGTTCGATTCATGTCGGATTCATGACAACGGTTTTTCAAAAATTTGTCGAACGAGTCAGTTTCGATCGATTCACGCTTTCATTTTTCGATCGATTCATGTCAATCGAATCTATAAACCCTCCCGTCTAAATTGCATGTTAATATTTGCCACCATTCTCGAAATATAAGCAAGTCGGTAGGTATCCATATTTCTGGCACACCCTGTTTTTGGTAGAATATCTTTCCGCAGGGACAATGCACCTCCCCCTTCCTGGTATGATGGGAGGAAGGAGTGTTTTCTCTGTTGGGGTTAACCGGGGTTAACCCTCCAGTTTGTAATAGTGACACCAGGGTCGTCTTCCCTATGCAGTCAGTGCTAAAACAATATATAGTTCCTAATTGCAAAATGAGCTTCCCCGGGTTCTTCATTTTGCAAATAAGGAACTATAGCCTTTTTTTGTAATTTTTGGCAACAGTGTGATGTTTTCGAAGCATCTGTCAACACAGGGTGTCAGAGGAACTCCATAGCTATAAAATGAACCATCAAACTGCAACATTGATCGTTTTGAGGAAAAACGCCAATGGTTTTTGCAAAAGTTGCTCTCCTGAAAACCTACCGTACTGCCTATAGTTCCGAATTGCAAAATGCTATCCAATTACAGGCTGGGTTTTTGGCTCTTCACGACGATTTCTGGGTCGGAAAGTGAGTTAAAAATCGCTCCTTCCCCGTTTTCTTCACGGAGCAATGGAGCCGTTCGGCGGTTAGCGGAGTGCGGTGCGCAGCAGCCAGCCCTGCTCGGGTTTTTCCAGCAGCGTCCGCTCATCATCGTAGCCAATTGGAGCTCGAGTGGAACTTAACCTAACTTAACCTCCACTAGATAAACACGCCGTCAAGATGTGGGTAATGGCGGCAAGGAGAGACTCGCTCGCGTAGTTTGACCATGCGTACGGTGCGGTGGCGTTTGCGGACGTGGCGTTTGCGGATTCTAAGAATCGGGTGGCGTTTGCGGATTCTCATATTTTGACGGTGGCGATTGCGGACAGGTGGAACAGGGCCGATGGACTTTGCGGACCAGAGAATTTCGGCGGTGGCGATTGCGGACGGAGGGGTAGGAACCTACATATCGACGGTGAAACTACCAAACCACGTACCTCGTTTGCGGTGTTTAAAAATCTACGCTCACTTTTTATTTTTTTGAAGTAGACCAAATCAATATCATTCCTTGAAATTTTCACGGAATTTTCTCCGCACAAAGAGGGAAAATCACAGAAATTTTCAAGACTGGATGTTAAGTAGTTTTTCATTTAAAGAATAAAGTATGACAGGAAGTCTGCGACGTCGCAAACCGAGATACGTGGTTTGGTAGTTTCACCGTCGATATGCTGCCCCCCACCCCTGCGCTGTATATTAAAGAGAAATATTACCGGAGAGGCTCTGGATTCCTTTTCATGGATGTAGAATGAAAAAAATATTCGTATTCAACATTAGTATTATATTTGTATAAAAACATATGAGCAGTGAACATACAGTACATTTTTAAAAGAAAGGCATGTCAGAAATCAAGAAACTGAAAAATCGTCAGTTTCAGTCCATTTTCATGATGAAAAACATGTTGTAAATTCTAGTCCAAAATTCCTTAAAGTCAAAAAATTACATACGAAAAATGAAAACACTTATTTTAATTTTTTGACTTTAAGGAATTTTGGACTAGAATTCAAAACATGTATTTCATCATTAAAATGAACTGAAACTGACGATTTTTCAGTTTCTTGATTGCTGATATGCCTTTTTTTAAAAAAATTTACTGTATGTTCACTGCTCATATGTTTTTATACTAATATAATACTAATGTTTAATACTAATATTTTTTCATTCTACATCCACGAAAAGGAATCCAGAGCCTCTCCGGTAATATTTCTCTTTAATATACAGCGCAGGGGTGGGGGGCAGCATATGTAGGTTCCTACCCCTCCGTCCGCAATCGCCACCGCCGAAATTCTCTGGTCCGCAAAGTTCACCGGCCCTGTTCCACCTGTCCGCAATCGCCACCGTCAAAATATGAGAATCCGCAAACGCCACCGCACCTTCTGTACTACAGCCGATGCGATGCAATGACAGCGTTTATTTTCAACTTGAATTTGATGGAGCTTTGACGGGCTTTTTCGGGCTTAAGGACTTGATTTTTGACTTTTTGAACATTGCCATTGTTTTTATCGCGAAAAGTTCTAGAAATACATATTTTTTATTCTCAAATCTCTCACCCATGCAACAACCCCATTGTTCAGACTTTTTTCTTAATTTCATCAATAAACATACAGTTCAATGAACGATATACATGGTGGTATTCCAAAAATTCCTTCCATCCCTTCTAAAATACCTATTTAATATTTTGAAACAAAATTTTGGGGATGTTCGTAGATCAATGTTAGCTTCTTTCGCCCCCCCCCCCAAAAAAGTTTTTGGACCATCCCACGGAAAGGGGTTCGTAACCCCGACTATTTCTTCAAATAGCAACCCTTTTTTTATGACAAATCAATTAAAAGAGAATAAGAAAATAGGTACAATTTTGGCGCGAACTGCAAGTCAAAATTTTGACTTTTCGTTGAAAATAATGGAAATTTGACAAGTCCATTCTTGATGAGGGATTGGAATAAAACCTGGCAACCACGGTTTTTTGGGACGAGAAAAACGATACTGGCATTACTTTTCGGGAAATTCTGTCCTTTTCAAAATGGCGGCGGTCAAAATGGCAACCTAGAGCGGTAACCGCAAAATTATCTCTAATATATTCTCAACTGGACAGCATTTTGCAATTTGGAATTATAAATTCTGGCTCTTCTGGAAAAACATTTATGTGCTTAGGGAAAATAATGGCACATACGTTGTTTTTAAACCGGGCTAGAATCCATAGGTCCAAATTGCAAAATGTAGTCCAACTGATATGAAATATTAAGAGACAAAAAGGTGATTCACAAAGGAGGAACGAGTCATAGAAAAAGAAAAAATAACTGATGAGAAGTTTCTTGAAAATTTGTTCAAGTGGTATTTTTAAAAAAAGCAAATTGTCTTAATTCATTAGATAAAACTAGATCCAAAGCGTTCACAGCTCCTTGACACATAGGACACTTTCCATAACTTTCAAGGACCCTGAAAAATAAAAAATCCGTAACTTAGAATGACATGATGATCAATATGACGATCTAGAGGCAAAAATTGGCTTTTAGTCACACATGTTATATCCACTTGGCAAAATGTTTTGTACAGAGCAGCAGCGGGCTGATTGTTGAAACTGATAAACAAAACGATAGACGAAGAAGACAAGAAAGATATGAAGGGATCCTTAGGGCGGGTCGAAAAAAGGCTTTCTGTTTTATTTTGACCGCAATAGCAAGCCCCCCCAGGACGCGCGCTTCGCGCGCGTTTTTGAGTTTGAGTGTCCGGCCTCAGTTGTTCTGTCTTTTAAGTGACCCGCGCGTCCACCGCGGGAGGAGTGTATTTTCCGAAGGGAGGGGCGGGGGCGGAGAGTTATCAATCTTTGGAGGTTGGAATTACGTTTACACTGTTGGAGGCATTGATTATTCGAATAAGGACTTCATGTCGCCAGATTGCAACAACAATCCTCATGTAATGTCTGATATGAAAAAATGTCAACAAACGCTGTGGCAAGCTTGAATGACGATGGATGAATCTCCATAACCCACTGTGCGACAATATAGCCATCGTGTCCACCAATTATCAGTTCATCAGTTCGTGACCCATTGTACGACAACATTGCCGTCTTATCCACCAATTTTCAGTTCGTGACCCACTGTGCGACAACATTGCCGTCTTGTCCACCAACTTTCAGTTCGTGACCCACTGTGCGACAACATTGCCGTCTTGTCCACCAATGTTCAGGTCGTGACCCACTGTGCGGCTTCCCTCCTCTTTTGCCGCACACCCCCCGCCTAAAACTTTCAAAACTCGCCATTTTTAAACGGCTCGACCGATTTCGCTCAAATTCAATACCAGCCTAGAACTATGTAAGATCTTCCTTCAAAACTCGCCATTTTTAAACGGCTCGACCGATTTCGCTCAAATTCAATACCAGCCTAGAACTATGTAAGATCTTCCTTCTGTAAAAATTTCGGGGGGAAAGCTTTTAATTTGCGCGAGTTATCGCGCCCACAAAATTGAACCTCCCCCCACTTCTCGCCCCCACCATTCGAAATGTAATACTTCGATCTCCGGTTTTTTTTCGCAGAATGGTAGTCCTGTTCCTCTACTTTACATCGCAAAAAGTTTCACCCGGAAATTTTTTAAAATGAGGGAAATATAACCAAGCAAAAATCGGAAAAACCACGATGAGTCGGAAATACATACATTAATAAACAGATATATATATCTGCGACCATGCGTAATCTACGACCCATGATCGATGCTCATTACATGGTCTTTGGTCCAGGTCTGACATCAGGGGAGAATGCAATAGTGTATTTCCTTCGGAAAATACACTAAAACCTGTGTCAAACATGGTAAAACTCACGTGTATTAAGTTTCAGCCCTTTATGCAACCCCTAACATGAAGTCCCGGGCACTTTAAGGGATGAAAATCAAAATATTAAATTTTTTGAAAAATTGAAACATGTATCCCAAAGGAACTTAGCGAGATAGGGTCCTTCGAGCTAAAATTTCAACCATTTTGACATGCAAAGTTACAAGTTCAGAATGACGATTTTCGGCGCGTAAAACATCCCTTTTAGCCACTGCCTGATAGGAATTTTCGCAAATTTGACAGTCTATCATGTGAGAAATAGACGATTTGCGAACTCCAGGGCGCAAATTTCGTCGGTTTTGAGGTATCTTAAAGCTTTATGCCACAAATCTCAAGTTAAAACTGCGTGAAGGTCACACGGGTCGGAGCCCGCGTCGATGCTCCCGGCCGCGCTGCGTTGTTGCCGTCGGAGTCCCATTATTAGGACCATGGTTGCATCTTACGCGCACTTAACGTGAACGGCTGCGCTCTTTCTCCCCTTCAACCACCCTCTAGCTCTTATATTAACGTCAACGATTCATTATTCAAATATCTTCCTTCCCTCTTCTTTATTTAAGATGAATGCTGCAACTTACGTTAAAAATGTGTAATATTCGAGCTCTGCCCGAGTACTGGGTGACCGCCCTCTTCTTCCACAAATGTATTTTTCCCTCGAAGAAAAGAATTCACTTCATCAAAGGAGGAGTTGCGTTTTGGGCCTTTTCCGGCCCCACCTGGATTTTGCTAAATGTTTCATATTTTCAAAGTACTAGTCTTAGGTAGACTCTGTGCCAAATATTAGACCGATCGGAGCCCATGCAAGGGCGCAGCAGCGCCTCAAACCCAAAATCCTGGAATCGAAAAACAATTATTTTCGTCGACTTTTTCGACTGTTATCACTCTTCCAGCACATGTTTCTTATGTATTTTTTTGCGTACTTTTCGTTTCTGGCCTTTTTAAAGGCCTCCGATAAATTTTAAGGGGCCTTATAGCCCATTGTTGCCATTTTTGGCCCATTTTTAGGGGTTTTTTCCATTTAACACATTCAAAACTCAATTTAATCCAAAAACTGTGTACATTTTTGAAAAGTACGTAAAGAAATGAATAAAAAAGGTTCAGTAAAATTTTTTCCTATGTTGCCAAATTTCCGAGAAAATTGGCCCCAAAGTGTCAAAATCGGCAAAAAATCGATAAATCGCCGCGTCTAAGGTTCAAGAAAGTGGAGTACATTTTTCATACTCTACCAGATAACAGCTCTTATCCATCCATACAACATACTGAAATATCATAGTTGTACCTGGATTCCCACGATGTGAAAATTGACCGAGATGTCGATTTTAGCGGCCTTTTTATACTTGAAGGCAGCTTTTTTGAATGTTTTTCGACCTTAGTCACCCTCTATGGGTGTGTACTATATGTATTTTTCTACGTACTTTTCATATCTGGCCATAAAAATGGCTTCCTGTGAATTTTAAAAGGCCTAACGGTCTATTGTTGCCAATTTTCACCAATTTTTAGGGGTTTTTTCAAGTTTACGTGCGTGAAACTTAATTTAATCTAGAAACCGTGTATAATTTCGGAAAGAACGTAAAAAAATACATAGGAATAAGATTTGTACCTTTTCCCTACGTTGCCAAATTTTCGAGAAAAATCGTCCTGAAGCGTCAAAAATGCCAAAAATTGGATTAATCATCACGTCGGAGGTTCCAGGAAGTGAATTATGACATTCATGTGGATCGTGGGACACTTTCTCCACGCATTTTCTGTTCTTCGGTATATTTGGCCTGTAGCAAGCATCTTGAGAACCAAGGATTATCTCGAGGTTACAGGAATAAAGAGGTGAACTGGAGTGAAGGATAAAGTAAAAGTACCTTGAGGGCCCGTTTTGTCAGGTTCATCTACGCCATTACATGTTCCTTGAGATGCATTGCAATTTTCCATTTTCGATACGTTATTTGTAGTGAAAAAAAACTTGAAATTCACTTCCTGGAACCTCCGACGTGATGCTTAATCCAATTTTTGGCATTTTTGACGCTTCAGGACGATTTTTCTCGAAAATTTGGCAACGTAGGGAAAAGGTACAAATCTTATTCCTATGTATTTTTTTACGTTCTTTCCGAAATTATACACGGTTTCTAGATTAAATTTAGTTTCACGCACGTAAACTTGAAAAAACCCCTAAAAATTGGTGAAAATTGGCAACAATAGACCGTTAGGCCTTTTAAAATTCACAGGAAGCCATTTTTATGGCCAGATATGAAAAGTACGTAGAAAAATACATATAGTACACACCCATAGAGGGTGACTAAGGTCGAAAAACATTCAAAAAAGCTGCCTTCAAGTATAAAAAGGCCGCTAAAATCGACATCTCGGTCAATTTTCACATCGTGGGAATCCAGGTACAACTATGATATTTCAGTATGTTGTATGGATGGATAAGAGCTGTTATCTGGTAGAGTATGAAAAATGTACTCCACTTTCTTGAACCTTAGACGCGGCGATTTATCGATTTTTTGCCGATTTTGACACTTTGGGGCCAATTTTCTCGGAAATTTGGCAACATAGGAAAAAATTTTACTGAACCTTTTTTATTCATTTCTTTACGTACTTTTCAAAAATGTACACAGTTTTTGGATTAAATTGAGTTTTGAATGTGTTAAATGGAAAAAACCCCTAAAAATGGGCCAAAAATGGCAACAATGGGCTATAAGGCCCCTTAAAATTTATCGGAGGCCTTTAAAAAGGCCAGAAACGAAAAGTACGCAAAAAAATACATAAGAAACATGTGCTGGAAGAGTGATAACAGTCGAAAAAGTCGACGAAAATAATTGTTTTTCGATTCCAGGATTTTGGGTTTGAGGCGCTGCTGCGCCCTTGCATGGGCTCCGATCGGTCTAATATTTGGCACAGAGTCTACCTAAGACTAGTACTTTGAAAATATGAAACATTTAGCAAAATCCAGGTGGGGCCGGAAAAGGCCCAAAACGCAACTCCTCCTTTACTCAAATGAAATTTTTTTCGAGAGGAAAAATGCATTCAAAACTGACGAGATATGCGCCCTGGAGTACGCAACTCGTTAATTTCTCAAATGATAGACTGTCAAATTTGCAAAAATCGTACAAATTCAAAATTCCTATCATTCGAAAAAAGGGATCTTTGACGCGCCGAAAATCGCCATTGTGAACTTATTCCTATCCTTGCACGTCAAAATGGTTGGAATTTTAGCTCGAAAGACCCTATCTCGCTAGGTTTCTTTGGGATACATGTTTCAATTTTTCAAAAAATGTAATATTTTGATTTTCATCCCTAGGACCTAGGACTTTATGTTAGGGGTCGCGTAGAGGGCTGAAACTTTAAACAAGCCCAAGTAGCATTTTTCAATGTTAAAGTTGCAACAAGTTGAAACAATGTTGGTATTAGTTGCAACAAAGTTCCAACTTTCGGTTAACATTTGGTCGATAAGTGCCGATTTTCAGCGATCTGATCGGAAGACAAAGTTGCAACCTGCTGCGATTGCAAAATTTCTGAACCGAAGTTGTTTAAAATCTAAAGATAGGCAACCAGCAATACTTTGAAGTTGAAACATGTTTCAGCTTAATTGCAACTAGTTCCAACAATGGTAGCTCCTTCGGGGGAGAGAGTAGGCAATCTGCACATCAATCTATTAGTTGCAAAAATCAAACGATTTTGTTGCAAGTTGTAGCAACCTCTGCTACTTGGGAGTGAGTTTTACCATGTTTAACACAGGTTTTTTTGCTGTTACGGTCAAAACAAAACAAAAAGCCTTTTTTCAACTCGCCCTAGGGATCCTATATAGGATCCCTACCAATATTTGTAGAAGCGGGTGGTTGCAATGGATAAAGGAGGTAAGTAATAGACTGACTAACAGCAACCCTTGAGAGACCTTATACTTAGTCCATTACTTTCTTCCTTACTCTATAAGAGCCACCAATTTCAACCAATAAGATAACTCCATACTCCTTAAGTCTTCTTTCTTCATAGCTTTGTCTATCAATTTCAACAATCAGCTCGCAAATAAGATTACATTAACAGGTTAGAGTCCATTCATAAGCTTTATTCCTGCTGCATGAAGCCTGGGACGAAAGTTGCCACTGCTATTCGTCAGATCGTGAATTCTTTTCCCATTTCTCAGTCGCCGCGACACCATTTCTGTTGCATAAATAGCTCAACACAACAAGAGCACCGCTGTAGGATGAAACATTTTGCGTGCATAAAGAGCCGTTCATAAAATACAGGGTGGGCCAGAAGTTCCAGGACGGTCGGCTAACTTTTTAACGGTTCGAGATAGAAAAATGAAACTTTGGGAATGTTCCTATCTCAAAGGGGACCATCTTTTGGGGGAGTCAAAATTTTGGTCCCCCCTAAGGGAGGGGGCGGGGGGCCCCCAACTTTTTTTTTTCAAATAGCAACCCCAATCTTGTGATACCTCATTCGAAAGACCATAAAAAACTAAGAATTTTAGCGCAAACCGCAGATCAATATCTTAATTTTTGACCGAGTTATGATAGGATCAAAGGTCAAATTTGACCTATTTTCAAAAAATCACAACTCCGGTTCAAATTATCGTAAAGAAAAAAATAAAACGAGAAAATTTACTAAATTGTGTTCACAAATTTGGAAAAATTGCAGAAATCACTTCCCAAACCACCCACCAACCCAATTTAAACGGTCAAATTTAATTACCTTAAATTGCGTTTTTTTTAACTTTTCCTGAAATTTGGGGACTTGCCCAACGTAATGCTGAACTGATTTTTACCTTACTGAGATAATGTGGAGGCAAATCTAGGGGAATTGGCTTATTTCGCGGGAAAATTGAATGACCTTTGAATTGACGTATTTGGGGGTCCGAACCCCCCCCCCCCCCCCCCCCCC